CAGCTCCATCATTTCCATGGGCGAGATGAAGTGCACTTGCACATCGGGCACTGTAATCCAGGGCTTGTCATAGCTCAGCTGCGTCTCGTTCGTGTCGCATTCGTTGTAGGTTAGCAGCGGGGTCATCAGCAGCTGCGTGGCGCCATAGCGCCGGGAGATGGTCTTGTCGTGTTCGTAGACAGTTTGCGTTTGCAGCTCGTGGAACAGCTCGAGCAGATTGCGCTCGGTCACGTCTGTGGCACGAAAGTCGTTCTCGCCGTGCACCGAGTTATGCAGACGCTCCTCGGAGCTGCGCAGTCCAAAGCCACAAAAGGGACCAGTTTGTATGTCGCCCACGTAGCCGCGATGCAGATAGGTGCGTCCATTGCGGACGAGTCCGGCGGCAAAGGTCTTGTTCGGTTTGCAGTGCTCGTATTCGGGAAACACAAAGGCGACGCCGCATTCACGCCAGTAGCGATACTCCTGGGAGCAAATCTGCTGCGCCTCGCGATCCTTCAGCGTCATGCTCAGATCCCAGTCAAAGGCGCCCTGCCTGTGATCGTATCGAGTGCCGAGCAGAGCGCGCACTCGCTGCTCCCAGTAGCGTTGTATATCGTACACCTGCTCCTGAGGCTGCCAGTAGCTGAAGGCCATTTCTAGGCCGTCGCGCTCCTTGTACTTGAGCGCTTCAATATTGAGCATGGGAGCCAGGCGCTGCAGCTGCTCCTCATCGCAGATCATGTTAAGCAGAGTGCGCGCCTTGGCGGCCACATAATGATGCGAGCTGGGACGCATCAGCGAATTGCCATAGATGTCCATGAAGAGATGTGCCTTGCACACCAGACTAAACGAATCGGGCGGCTCCAGTGCAAGGCCCAGCAGCAGCATGTTCCTGGCAATGATCTCCACACAGGCGTCCAGTAGATAGATATTCAGCTTGGGCTTAACGGCGTGCGTATAACGCTTGGCCAGCGTCCGGATCACATGCCGCGGATCGGCGCCACCACAGATGAGCATATTGAGCTCAGCGGGCTGGCCCTCAGCCTCAGCTGCGCCTGGCTCATCTGGCAGCTTAAAGGCCTTGATGTACTCCTGGTACAAATCCAGCGCCGAGCTGAGACCCCAAAACATTTTCTGCTCACTTTAAACGAAAAACTACTAGGAAAACTCTAGCTTTGATAGCTGCCACTGCTGCTGCCTCATTTGCTGCTGCTATTTATTTGATTGACATCAGTTGCCCGGACGACTAGCTCCATTGGCCATCGAGCTGTTGCCTGGCAACGTCTTGGCCTGTTTAGCATGTCCTTTATTTGACACACCCCTAGGGGAGAGAGGTACTATTCCTGAGTCAACGCATTTGTTACGCACAAAAGCAGGCATATTCATTCCCAAAGAGTCTATATATTTCTGAACAGTCGAGTCCATCTAGACATGTCCATCTGTCCATTTAACGTTCATACATTTTTTTTGATTGATTTTTTTAAATTTCGTTGCCAAACTTGGCATCTACATCGGCAGACCATATCATATAGCTCTATGAGAAGAATCACACACATACATTTAAGTTTTTAAAGATATCTTGACATCATAATTATGCATAATAATGCCAAGCAGCCATATATCGAGGCACTTCTTAATCAAGCAAGGGTATTTGGTGTTCGACGTGTCGATATTGACCGTGATTCTGTCTTGTTTGCATTGCATTCGTTGTGTGGATTAGAGGAGCGCGTTTCAGTCCAGAGCGGAAATTGGTTTTTGATATCTGCCTGCCTGCAGTGCATCGGTCCAAGTCAAATGTGGGAGACAGCCAATCGCCGCAGCGGGTGGCTTGGGCCATCCAGGATATGCTGAGAAGCTGGGCATAATCGTAATGCATTATTCAGCGCTCGGTTGGCTGCTTTTAGCTGATTGCCACTGTGACGCCAATTCCGGCGGGCATTGCACTTGGCAAGCAGCTTAAATAAAAACACATAACAGAAATGTGCGCGAGAATAACTACTTATTAAAATGATAAATAATATTGAACGTAATTCTCTTCAGGCAACCGTATTGTCTTAGTTCTTCGCCAAATTGATTTGGCCATAAAACTGATGTCAGCTTTATGCAGTTTTTTTGTTTGTTTTGCTTTCCCTAAGCGTATTCACGCTTTGGGACCAAAAAGCTTTTAATGCATTTTCCGCAAAATGTACACAGACAAACGAAAATTATGCATGCCATTGGGAATGGGAATGAGAATGCGAGGGGGACTGGCCAAGTGGCTTACTTAATCTTCATTCGCAGTTGGCTTGTGTAATATCTGCTAGTAGTTTCTCTTTTTGGCTCAACTTTTGCTTGACAAAGCTGCAAAGCTTCTTAATACATACTTATTGTTGGACCCAAAGTCCACAGACTGCAAACTTTTTGGCAGCAGGTCGCCTTAATTGCGTGTGTGTCTCGCAGCACACGCTGCGTATGCGTGATGTGAGCTGTGAGCTGCGATTAGTGTTGCAAACTGAGCTATTTTTCAGCTAAATTTAGCCATTTGCAGAGGTGGTCAGTCTGAAATAGATTTGGCACTGAGTTTAACTGCAGTATTTAGATATTATTTGTATATCTATATCTCGGGCATAATCGTGCCTTTTCCGCCTTTTCGCGCTTTAATTTTTCAGCGCTTTAGCTATATTCAACACTGGATTCAGCTACTTTTTTGAAGCGGCAGCTAGCAACACTGGCTGTGAGTCTCGAGCTGTCTGCAGCATTTGTGCCGTTCGCCCCGCCTTACCCTCTGCCCCATGCAGCTGCAAGTATGCTGTTTGAGAGTTGCTCGTGCGTCTAATGCGCAATCTAAGCACAAATATATCTGCCAAATGCTGAGTTGATGAGAATTTGGTAAATCTGGCAGCATATTTCTGGCTCAAACAGTTTGCAGTTGGTTGTTGTTGTTCCGGCCAGATTGCTGGCTTTTGTTTGATAGTTGTTGTTGTTGCTGTTGTTGCTGCTCAATTAGTCAGTGTAATGGCAGCTGCTGGCACAGCCATGCACTTGATTTGACTGCGGTTCAATAAATACGAGCACAAAGGCGCACCGAATGCCATTCAAGCGGCACACAATTCATCACAGCATCAGTTTTCAATGAGTTTCCCAGGCACCAGCACAACAGGACTCGGCATGCGGTTGCTGGCTAAAGCAAAAGTAATTAGAAGACTGCGCGCCCTGCGGCAGACTCGAAATGGCTAAAAAAGAAACCCGGACAATGGCCGTTGAAAAAAAAAAAATTAAAAAAAAAATGGGTTAGTTAAGCGCTTGCGGTTGCCACGATTTATAAGCAAGGCCAGCCAAATTGTTAAAGGGCATGCCAGAGCTTAGACAAAGCCAACTTTGGGCTCTACTTAGTATACATCCGTGTACTTAATTCCACTTTAGAATTAATTGCAGACCAACGTGTAAAGGCTGCCAATGTTCAACAGAACAGCAAAGTCCGGCATTTGTTATGCTGCGAATTTTTTTCACAGGCGTATTTTGAAATATGAATGAAAGTGCAGAAGTTCATCAATGGAAAGCATTTTAAAATCCAACAGAGTTGAGCATGTCTTGATTTTATTCAGCAGTAAAAGCTAAGCTATATCATTATTGCTGTGGAATTGATTCGCAGGTGAAATTAGCTACACGAGTGGAAATCTTGCTGAATTTCAGATATATATTCTGCTATTCAGATATATGTTTAGCTAAACAGAACTAAGGATTATTGTTTTTAATTCATTACTCAAATCCAAGTGAAATTGTTTCACAAGTGAAATTAGCAGAACGGGTGGAAATGTTACAGAATTTCAAATATTACTGTCTATATTCACAGCTCAAATCTAAGCAATATTTCCTTTTCTGTTTCACAAGTGAAATTAGAAATACGTGTGAAAATGTTGCAGCCTTTCAAATATATCCACCATCCATACAAAGTCATTGCAAATTGTAATCTTTCGCAGCCAGCTGCTCTGTTTCCTTATGCAGGATATCTGAAAGTCAATTACACTCTCGTTAGCTTTATTCCTGTATTCATTCATGCACATAGATCGTTAATCCTTATGACTATGTATTTGGTTCAGAGGTCAACATAACAATTGCAATGTGCGTGTCACATGCGACTTTGTTGCGGCCAAACAAAAGTTTGAATACGACTCGATACGGACGAGCATGTTCAGGGTGAGTGTGTGAATGTGTGTGTGTGTGTGTGTGTGTGTGTGATAAGGATTTGTTTTTCATCTTTATTGTGTGTGTCTCTGTGTTTGTGCTTATGCAGCAGCAACGGCAGCGCCCGAAATTGGTTTCGTGTTTCCTCTGCTCAGTTGTCTGCTCACATCACGCGCACATTCACATTTGGGGCTCAGGTTGCTCTCAGCTAACACTCGGGCTCGGTTACCCCCGCCCGCATATCAGCACATCTCCCCACCACCCCCTACCCCATCTCGGCGGCAGTTATTGTCAATGTTTTGCGCAAACTTTTCTCATTAGGCAGTGCAAACAAAATGGCTGAGTCTGCGGCTCTCTGCTGTGGCCCAGTTTGTTAGCTGTTCGACATCAACCGGGCCAGAATGGTGTCATAATGGCCAATAAAGCAACATGGAATACATCATTAAATGCTGTCGATCAAAGTGCTGCAAATTAATCGTTCCGATTCAAGTTTTGGCACATGTTTGTATATACATACAAATGTGTGTGTGTGTGTGTGTGTGTGTGAATGTATGTGCACTATAATCAGATGCATAAATTAAACGTTAAGCAATTAGCTTCTATCATTAACAAAGTTTCCGACGACAGTCGCATCATTAATATTGTTCTAGTGCTTTTTAGCAGGGCTGCAAACCATCAAAAAAATAGTCAATGGTTCAGTTCACGTTACAAAGGAATCTCCGTCCAGTTTAGTTTGTAACTTTCAGGTTGGTTTCGGCATTCGGTTAAGTTTATGTTCGGGAATTATATAATTTCCAGATTTGAACCAGTTCGGTTCCCGTTTACCCCTCCTTGCTTTTTAGTAAAAGACAATTTGATTTGTTTTTGCTGTTTTCCAGTAAAGTTTAGTTTAATTTTGTAATAGACATAGACAGTGTGTTCTACTTAGCACATGCTCCGACTGGGTTCTCAAAGGACTCTCAACTGCCAGCCACATATGTATACATATCTATATACTATATATACGCCTTTAAATACTACGAATTGTTCGGTTGCTTTGGGGCCCTACAATAGCTCAATGTGGGTTACACTAAAAACTACATATGTTATCGTATCGGGTGAGTTCTTAGTTCTTAGGTTAAGGATTAAACAAGTTCACATGTCGCATGCGTAGAAATATGTGTAGAAATATCGCTTTGTGTTAAAACATTTCTCATGGCTTGTGTTTTGTTTTCCTTTCTTCTTATATTTTCTTTTATATTTTTTTGTTCTAGGCAAGAACTTCTGATTGTCAGAGAGTTATTGAAGTTAACTAGGGTGCGTGCAGAACTGATAGAAAATAAATTGTGCGCTTAGTACAGAGTTTAGGCTTAAACTAATGCACAGTTATACACAAATATTCAAACGCTTCGCTATGGATATGTGTTAAACAATTCATATTTTGTTTTTCTCCATATTGCGCACATGCATTAATAAGTATATACAATGCTGAACAGATCTGAAATCAAATGTGCTGCAAATGTATACTTTTTCTTTTGTTTTTTGGTTTGAGTAAATGTTTTCCATAAATTTATAGTTTTGTGGCATATTAATAGTGTGACAATTACAGTTTTATTTCTGCATTTTGTATCTTTTTGTTTATTAAGCATAGTTACGCTTTTAACCCCTTCAAGTTTTGTGGTTTGCATTTGGTTTCTTCTCGATCATATCTCTACAATCTATATAGAAGTATGTATATATATATGCATAACAACATGAATAGCTCAAGTTGTTATTATTTATGAGTACATAAAACACTCTACAACATTAAAATTTCAAAATGGCTCACTTATCATGTATGCTAGGTTCTATATAAAGTCTGAGACGGTGGTTTTTGCTTTTTAGAAACTACAGACTACAATTTTGTAATTTTGGGGAAAAAACCAAGCAAATCAAAATATTGTTGAGTTTTACTCGCTCGCTCTAAACAAACCTAAGCTTAATTAAAAAAAAAAAATACCAAACCAAAATGTAAACAAATAATTAAACTTTAGGAAACATTTAACAGATCACTTGGAAGGGAGAGTCTAGGTTGCAGCTAGTTGCTCAATTATTGCTTACCATTTAAAACATTTACTTATTAGCTAGTGTAATTAACTTTTATAAATTAGCCAGTGCGCCTTACAGCTTATCCTTTGTGGTATCCTCCTCCTCCTGTAGCGAAATGATCTGTGGCAGGCGTGCGTGAGATGCAAGAAAATGTTATATAGTTGATGTTTGTTTTTTTTAATTTCAATTAAATATGCAGAGCGAGAGAGACATGTTTTGACTGTTTTTGCTAGGCTTAAAACAGAATTTGTATTAATTATGGTTTATTGTTCGACTACAGTTTAGCATTAACTAACTAAGAGAAACTAAATAATCAGTTGCAGGTGAACGAAAAATAATCAATGTGAATGGAACCGCGCACAGTTCCATTTTCAGGCAAAGTAAATTCGATTAGCTGGGTGTATAAGCTACGCTCTAGAGATCTATGGACTAATAGTGGTATAATTCTATATATATATATATATATGCAGATATGCAGCTAGGTATGCGTCTTGTGCTGCTTCGATACTTACTTCAGCTCATTCGCAGCTCCGTTTACAGCGGGTGGGCGTGGCCAACAACTAAGTACAATCTAAGATATAATTGCATTTTCTTGCTTGTTTTTTTTTTGTTTCTTATTAGATGTGTAGTTATTTGATTATTTAGTTCATTTTTATATATATATGTATATATTTAATATAATTACGTAGAGCTCTCATAAATATTTCAGCACTTGCAGTGAGGTACGTTTGTATCTTTGAAAGGTAATGCGGATTTGAAACGTGACTAAACCGATTTTCTAACCCTCTACTAGATTAGTTTTTGTGTGAACCTAAAAGAACTCGTCGAAATCGTCTAGAAAGTACAAATTTATCAATTAGGCTCGTCGTATAGTAAAATTGAACTGTGGAACATGTCGGGCACAGAATTGATCGGGTTCGGTGCTCTAATTGAAATTCCATTTCCACTTGGGTGTGAGTGGGAAAGTGGAAAGTGCTGAGAATTGCAGAGAGAAGCTTGCATGCCAAATAAGATTATAAACAAAATGTATTGAAGTAGAAAAACGAGTTATTTTGTTTTAGTTGCTTTCGGTTTAACTTTTTGGGTGGTTTCTATGCAAAACTTTTGTATTTAATCGTAGTTTTAGCCAAGTGCTAAATTATAGTTTATAAAATTTAGTTATTTGATTATTTATCTTTCGCTGGCGTAGTTGTGTTGTTCTTGTTGTTGTAGTTTTTACTGTTGTTGTTGTTGTTGTGGGGCATGCTGCAGTGAGCTGCGGGAACTGGTTTTCAAACTGGTGGAGGCTGATGGTGGTTGGTGGTGGTGGTTGGTGGTTCGTGGTTGGCAGTTGGCGGTTGGCCGTTGACGTTGGTTAAAAATGAAAAAATTGAGTTTCATTTCATTTTGGCAGTTGTTGTTGCTATTGCCAAAATGCACGCACACACACACACGCACACGCACAAACAGAGAGAGAGAGAGAGGAAAAGAGAGTATAACCAACATTTTGCGTTGCGAACGCAACAAAATTTAACAAAACTTGAACAAATTGTCAAAATTTATTAATATATATATTTAATATATACACATCAAGAGTTGAAGAGAGGTGTGTGAGTGAATGTGTAAGAGAACGGGCATAAAACTTTCGATTTCAATCAACATGATGACTTTTTACTTAAGTAGTTCGATATATAAGCATGGCATCTAGTTACATTTACATATGATACAAAAGTTTTTAAATTCCTTTGCTTCTCTTTTGCCTGCTTTTTCCAGGTGTGAGGGCGGAGCTTAAGCAAAACATGCCTGAAGTGTTGAAACAGAAATGTGGAACTGGAGAAAACGAGCGCTTACCTCCGGATTGATTCATTGCATACGCAGGATATTGCAATTACAGTGCAGTTTATTGATTGATTTTAATTCAATTAAATTGACGCGATTAAATTGATTAAAAACATTGCAAGACGTGTGGCATGTGGCATGTGGCATGTGGCATGTGCCACACACCATTTACGTTTTGTAACATTTTATCGAGTTAATCGTGCTGAAATTCTATTGATGGCAGTTTATGGCGCCCATATCAAATAAATAATAGCATTTTAAGCGCTCTGAACACCACGTATATTCAATTTGAGTCCCAGACAAGAACACTTCGCTGATGAGTAAAAACTGCAGTTTAAAAAGCACTTACCTTCTATATTAGATTGGTTTTATTTGTCCATTGTAGAATACACATCGAATGTATATAGTATGTATATAGAAAATGCTACGCATACAATTAGCATACTTTATTCAAAAAAATAGTACTAGCTACTCATAACTACCCTGCAGGATATATTTTAAGCAGCTTACAAATAAAAATGTATCAGAATTAGTTTAAAACTGTGACAAAAATAAGATGCATTTAAGTATGTGTAAGTATAATTGTGTAATATCCAAAACAGAATGTAACTGCATAGTTAGAACATATTTTTCAATTGTTAACAAAAAAAAAAAAAAAAGAGACTTCTGGATGTTAAGCTATCAACCTTTCTTGGAAAGGTTTTAGGGTCTCGAAAATTGTCAATTAATGTTTTTACGGCCCTGGCCGAAAAAAAAATCAAAACCGATTCATAGATGACCCATAATATCCTTGGTTTTAACATACCATTGATAGAGTCCTGGTGAACCTACAAAAATATGAATGTATGATGTTTCCCACAGCCGTCCCCTCTATGCCCTTCTCCCTCTATGGTTCTTAGATGACCGATATATCCTTGGTTTTACCATATCATTGATATAGTCCTAGTGAACCTTTAGTTCCCAATCCCGGCAAAATTCGCTAAAAAGTTTTACCCACACTTAATATAAGGTTTAAAAAATGAAAGGTCGCAAAATGCCATTGCACTGGGTCCGGCCGTTGTCTCACATTGTAAAATCAAAAATCAGTTGAAATACCAGGCAAACAGAAATTCCCAGCAGGTAGATGCACAGAATTTTATTTTTGCAAAAATGATTATTTGCATGTTTTTGAACAGTTGACTGTTAAAGAACTTTTATTTAACAGTTCAATGTTAAGTAGCTGTTAGTTAACATACCACTGTAAACAGCCTCCGGACGGGGGAGTTATGTCGTTTCGAAACGTCATATCTCCATGATTTTCTTAGAGCGGCGGAGCTATGTCGTTTTGAAACGTCAAATCTCCAAGATTTTTTTAGAGCGGCGGAGCTATGTCGCTTCAAAACGACATAATCTCGCCGTGATCGACGGCGAAGTTATGTCGCTTTGAAACGTAATATCTCCAAGATCTTTTAGAGCGGCGGAGGTATGTCGCTTCAAAACGACATAATCTCGCCATGATCGACGGCGAAGTTATGTCGCTTTGAAACGTCATATCTCCAAGATTTTTTTAGAGCGGCGGAGCTATGTCGCTTCAAAACGACATAATCTCGCCGTGATCGACGGCGAAGTTATGTCGCTTTGAAACGTCGTATCTCCAAGATTTTTTAGAGCGGCGGAGGTATGTCGCTTCAAAACGACATAATCTCGCCAAGATCGACGGCGAAGTTATGTCGCTTTGAAACGTAATATCTCCAAGATCTTTTAAAGCGGCGGAGGTATGTCGTTTCAAAACGACATAATCTCGCCAAGATCGACGGCAAAGTTATGTCGCTTTGAAACGTCATATCTCCAAGATCTTTTAGAGCGGCGGAGGTATGTCGCTTCAAAACGACATAATCTCGCCGTGATCGACGGCGAAGTTATGTCGCTTTGAAACGTAATATCTCCAAGATTTTTTTAGAGCGGCGGAGGTATGTCGCTTCAAAACGACATAATCTCGCCATGATCGACGGCGAAGTTATGTCGCTTTGAAACGTCATATCTCCAAGATTTTTTTAGAGCGGCGGAGCTATGTCGCTTCAAAACGACATAATCTCGCCGTGATCGACGGCGAAGTTATGTCGCTTTGAAACGTAATATCTTCAAGATCTTTTAGAGCGGCGGAGGTATGTCGCTTCAAAACGACATAATCTCGCCATGATCGACGGCGAAGTTATGTCGCTTTGAAACGTCATATCTCCAAGATTTTTTTAGAGCGGCGGAGGTATGTCGCTTCAAAACGACATAATCTCGCCAAGATCGACGGCGAAGTTATGTCGCTTTGAAACGTCATATCTCCAAGATTTTTTTAGAGCGGCGGAGCTATGTCGCTGCCACGTGCTTATTGTAAAGGGCTAATTTTATGCGCGCCCCAAGAGTATGCAGTAAAACTGTTATTTTAATAGGCTCAAGCATATTATGCGGACAGCTCGAAAGTATGCAATGCTTTCTTTTTCTAATATGTGCACAACCACACGCACGTTTTTGGAAAACTCTAAATGGTCATATCTCGGCCAAATAAAGCCCGATTTCGGTCAAAAAGGGAAGGGCTACTCGAGGAGGTCCGTAGAATCCGCCAAGATCGACGGCGAAGTTATGTCGCCTTGAAACGTCATATCTCCAAGATTTTTTTAGAGCGGCGGAGCTATGTCGCTTCAAAACGACATAATCTCGCCAAGATCGACGGCGAAGTTATGTCGCTTTGAAACGTCATATCTCCAAGATTTTTTTAGAGCGGCGGAGCTATGTCGCTGCCACGTGCTTATTGTAAAGGGCTAATTTTATGCGCGCCCCAAGAGTATGCAGTAAAACTGTTATTCTAATAGGCTCAAGCATATTATGCGCACAGCTCGAAAGTATGCAATGCTTTCTTTTACTATGTGCACAACCACACGCACGTTTTTGGAAAACTCTAAATGGTCATATCTCGGCCAAATAATGCCCGATTTCGGTCAAAAAGTTAAGGGCTACTCGGGGAGGTCCATAGAAACCGCGAAGATCAACGGCTAAGTTATGTCGCTTTGAAACGTCATATCTCCAAAATTTTTTTAGAACGGCGGAGCTATGTCGCTTCAAAACGACATAATCTCGCCAAGATCGACGGCGAAGTTATGTCGCTTTGAAACGTCATACCTCCAAGATTTTGTTAGAGCGGCGGAGGTATGTCGCTTTAAAACGACATAATCTCGCCAAGATCGACGGCGAAGTTATGTCACTTTGAAACGTCATATCTCCAAGATTTATTTAGAGCGGCGGAGGTATGTCGCTTCAAAACGACATAATCTCGCCAAGATCGACGGCTAAGTTATGTCGCTTTGAAACGTCATATCTCCAAAATTTTTTTAGAATGGCGGAGCTATGTCGCTTCAAAACGACATAATCTCGCCAAGATCGACGGCGAAGTTATGTCGCTTTGAAACGTCATATCTCCAAGATTTTTTTAGAGCGGCGGAGCTATGTCGCTTCAAAACGACATAATCTCGCCAAGATCGACGGCGAAGTTATGTCGCTTTGAAACGTCATATCTCCAAGATTTTTTTAGAGCGGCGGAGCTATGTCGCTTCAAAACGACATAATCTCGCCATGATCGACGGCGAAGTTATGTCGCTTTGAAACGTCATATCTCCAAGATCTTTTAGAGCGGCGGAGGTATGTCGTTTCAAAACGACATAATCTCGCGAAGATCGACGGCGAAGTTATGTCGCTTTGAAACGTCATATCTCCAAGATCTTTTAGAGCGGCGGAGGTATGTCGTTTCAAAACGACATTATCTCGCCAAGATCGACGGCGAAGTTATGTCGCTTTGAAACGTCATATCTCCAAGATTTTTTTAGAGCGGCGGAGCTATGTCGCTTCAAAACGACATAATCTCGCCATGATCGACGGCGAAGTTATGTCACTTTGAAACGTCATATCTCCAAGATTTATTTAGAGCGGCGGAGCTATGTCGCTGCCACGTGCTTATTGTAAAGGGCTAATTTTATGCGCGGCCCAAGAGTATGCAGTAAAACTGTTATTCTAATAGGCTCAAGCATATTATGCGGACAGCTCGAAAGTATGCAATGCTTTCTTTTACTAATATGTGCACAACCACACGCACGTTTTTGGAAAACTCTAAATGGTCATATCTCGGGCAAATAAAGCGCGATTTCGGTCAAAAAGGGAAGGGCTACTCGGGGAGGTCCATAGAAACCGCCAAGATTAACGGCAAAGTTATGTCGCTTTGAAACGTCATATCTCCAAGATTTTTTTTAGATCGGCGGAGCTATATCGCTTTAAAACGACATAACTCCATAACCACACGATTGAAAAAAAAAGGTTGAAATAAAAAAAACAAATGAGGATAATATTTATTGCTGTTTACAATTATATTATTATGAATCTATAAATATTTATGCTATTATTGCCAAGGTTCTTAAAAACATAATAAAATAAATGAAAATCTCGAATTTATAATTGGCGCAGAAGCTACACGGACGACTGACTAGGACAAATTGCTTCACAGTGTGTGTAATAAATATAACTCCTTTATAAAACTAAGAATAAATAATGCACAGTTCACTCCAACATACATCTGCGACTAGCTCCGCTTAAAAAGCAGCCTGCAGCGTACGCATGGCAAAAGGAGTTTTATACAAAATAAAAGATGCTAGAAACTACTTAGAATAAACAGAAGTTTTGTAGTGCAATGTAGAAATTGGTTAAAAAGTAGTGTAGCGGTCCGTGCGTTTGCTCTACATGTGTATGTGCTGGGTGTACAGGGGCAGGTCGTACTGGTGGCAGGTCGTAGTGGGGTGTAAGGTCGTTCATTGCGTCACACAGTCATTGCAATCGGCGGTGGGCGGCTCGGCGGGCGTGGTGCGGACTTTTTGCTCAGATCTGCCACGAAAAAGCGGCCAACGGCGGCCCCAGAAGCCACAGGAGCTGGTCGTGCGGCCCAGTTTCTTAGCGGGCTCAGCTGGCGCTGGGCTAGCAACCAGGTGGGGACTGGCACGCTCCACAGCCATGGTGCCGAGAGTGGCCTGTGTGGATTGAGGATGCAGCACTAGATCGTTGCGCGGTCGTCGCACCTGCCGACAATCGTAGTTCTCCACGACTATTATGGGCGTGGCATGTGGCAGACGATCCGGCACATTGACACGGATATGCGGCAGCAGGGACTGACATTGGCGCTGGCGGCTCTGGCTGCGTCGGCGACTGCGACTGCGCCACAAATGCGGCTTAAAGCTGGGCCAGTGGAAGAACTGACGCACCCTAACTGGACGCTCCGTTTGCAGCAGATCGCGCACCAAGTCGGGCGCTTGCTGGTTCAACGGAGGGCAGCTGGAATTGCTGGCGTTGTTGTTGTTCTGGCTGTCATGTCTGTCGGGATTAGTGTTGTTGTTGTTGTTGTTGTTGTTGCTGTTGTTGCTGTTGTTGCTGTGGTGCGGTGGCGTGCTGACATAAAATTTGGTTTTGGTGCGAGAGACACGCAAGCTACTGGTCTTCCATGCATCGTGCAGGGTTCGGATGCCGGGCAAGCGTGCGAGCATATGGATGTGGTCGTAGGAGGCTGACAACATACCTGCGCGCTCATCCTGATACTCATCATCGTCGGAGGACTCTAGCCGGTCCTCCACCAGCGACGTCTGCCGCGACAGACCCTTTTGCGTGTAAGCGAACAGAGACGAAGCCAAGAAGTCAACATAAAAGTAAAACGAAATGAAAATTGAAAAAAAAAAACAAGTAGATAACACAGCTGATGAGAACGCGTCTACAAAAGCAAACTCGTGGCATTCGTGACACGCGCGCATCACTAGGACTACACACAGGACACAGCAGACAGATGGACAGCAGACAACAGGACAGTGGGCGTGGCTGGCAACTTACCGCATTGTGACGTCGTCGAGGCGGCGAACGTTTGTTCCACAGCGCCTCCAGTTGATCGAAATGCTGGGACTGGGCGAGCGCCGCCTGCTCCGGTCCCAAGTTGGCTTGGGAGGCGCCCGTTTTGGTTTCAGCTATCTTCGAGATCTCCTCCATGCTGGCCGAGACGCTGAAGCGTCGCTTCAGGCGCTCATCCACCTGGGCCATCATCACGGAGGAGGTCAGATGGCCATATTTCTTTTGCCAGGTGTATGTGTCCAGGGAGACCTCTTTTTTGAGCAGCCGCTTCATCTGTCGCTTGGGGCCCTGTGGACGCAAATCTGTGTCGGAGCAGCAAGAACGAAGAGTAGGTTATGGATGTGGCTGTTTAGGGGGCAATGATTCAGACTTACCTTCCACATCCTTGCTGGGACCGGAATAGGTCGGCAGCTTGACATACTGTGCCGGCGTATTATGCAAACAGATGACGGGCAAATTGTAGCTATCCACCAGCTGGACAAGCACACGGGACACTTCTAGGCTGATGTCGAAGTGCGTGAAGGGCACGTGCATCTGCAGCGATGTGAGCGCCAGGCCACGCTTCGTTTCCCACACAATTAACGTCTTGTCATCGCTGCCCGAGACAGCCGTGGAGCCTGGAAGAGACAGGAGAGGAGAGGCAGCAATGTATTAAGAAATTGTTGGACCTCCAGGCTATCCAGCTGACTCACCATCGGCGGAGACCTTGACGCCAATAACAGCGCCCAAATGGCCGGCCAATGTGTGCACCTCCTCCCCGGTGAGCAAATCCCATATAATCAGATTCATATCCTTTGAGCCGGAGATGACCTGCGTTTTATTGGTCACAGAGACGGCCACACAGGTGACCGCATCGCTGTGACCGACGAGCACCTGGCTCAGCTTGCCGCCCATCGATTGCCACACCTTCAGCGACATATCCCTGGAGCCAGTTATAATGTGCATGCTGTCCGCGCTAATCTCGAAGCAGGTTATCTCGTCCGAGTGCGAGACGGAATACTTTTCATCCTCCTGCGTTAGGGACCAGATCTTTAGGGTATTGTCGCCATTCGTGGAGACGGCGAAGCGCATGTTGTTGGTGGCCGCTAGTTTCTTGTACGGACCCTGTATGGTCTGGAGCAGATTGCCCGAGTCGGCCATCCACACGAGCATCATCGACTCACGATCCGTGGAGATGACGCGCAGCGAGTCCATGAGCACCACCAGCTGCATAACTGGCGCCGCATGTCCCTTGAATGTGTGATTGATTTCGCCCAGCGCCAGAGTCCAGATCTGCACCAGACGATCCTCGCCGCCCGTGGCCAAGAACTCGCCGTTTGGCGCAAATTTCAGACAATTGACGACACAGGTGTGACCCTCCAGTGTGCTCTGATATTCCGGCGTATTGATGCGCATCATGTGCACACTCCGGCCGGAGGCAATCGCCAGCTGCTGCGAGTCGCGCGACAAGTCGAAGCATGTGATCGGCGGTAACGTGGTCGAGGGCGAACGCTGCGCCTGGGCGTGCCGCTTCAGGCTGCGCTTGCGGCGCGGATGCCGCGAGTACGGATTCACATAGAGCTCCTCGTTCCTGAACGAATAAAAGGTGATTTTGTTGCCGCCAACGGTAATCAGAAAGTCATCATTGTCCATGGCATAAACGGCCGTAACTGGACCCGGATTCGGCGGCATTGAGCGCACCAATTTGCCGGAGTGCATGTCATAGATGAGCGCCCGCGTATCCTCGCAGCCGACCACGCACCGCTGGCTGTCCTTGCCAATGCATATGGTGCGTATCTGTGCGGGATTACAACAAAAAAGGATAGGAAGGTAAATGCCATTTGCCGTTTGACTCCGGCTCGTTGCACGCCGCGACTCACCCGCGACTTGTGTCCCTTGAGCGTGTGCAGCTCCTTGCCGGTGGCCAAGGTGCGCACGTAGAGCGCATTGTCCTCGCAGAGGGCCAGCAGGAATACCTAACGGCAGATATACGCACATACAATGTGCATTGAATGTAATTAATTGACATTTTCAGCGCCATTTTAATGCATTCCCCACCATTTGACGGCGACAAAAGGCCAACTCCGACAATCCTCTTCCCCTCTCAGGCCCGCATTCTCCCTGCTTGCCAAACCCGACTACCCAATCAAATATTAATAAATTGCATTCCACAGTTGCACAGTTGCAATTTTTACAGTTCGTGCACTGAGCAAAATTGCTGCTGAGAAAGTTAAAGCAATGCAGCCGCTTTTGACCAACTGCTAGATACTCTGGAAAAACTGCTTGATATGGCTGTGAAACAGCTGTTATGCCACCTTTTCAAAGGATCAGTCCTCACTAGCATCACAGACTTCTCTGGAGGATTACTTGAATGACACATGTAAATTTCTTCCCTAGTTTCTCTAAATCTCTCTTTCCTTTTTCACTCTCGCTTCATGTTTTGTCTAAGTCGATTGTTCTTTTCTGTCCTCGTAGAGAAAGTCTCAAGCACCCCCTATTCTCTCATTTTTCTTCCTCTCTCTCTCTACCTTTCTTTTTGTACTTCCCTTCGAGTATATATAAAAAAAAAAACGCGAAAACAGAGTATAAAAACGCAATTTCATTTTAAGAGTTTAGTTTTCTTATTGGCGCATCGCCAGATCGAGTATTCGCCTTTGTTGTTTTTGTTTATGTGCTTATATGCTGGCTCGTATTGTAATAGGATAAGAGCATCATTGGTAACCCTAGCCAGGGTATTATAGTGTCACTATCTATGTTAATTATAACAGTACGATAAGTAAATATCGATAAAGAAAAGCGGCTGCAGAGAAGAAGTGGAAGGCAGTCTCTCTACAGTACTAGCAGTAAGAAGACGTGTTGTTAAAAATAAAAAGGCAACCCGAACATAAGTTAAATCAACGAAGAAAATCATACTATTACAATATCAGAAGTGGGATTGACTCAGAAAAAAAAAAAAAAAACACAACAAAATGGAAAATATAAATATAAATGACGTGTCAATAGCGACATTGAAAAGTTGGTTGGCATTACTAAATTTGCCAACAGAGGGTACCAAAACTGAGCTGATGGCGAGATTAAATAAGGTACCAGTGGATATCCGAGACGATGCTGCAAAGGAACTTGAAGTTCAACGTAACAAGGAACAGACAATTGAGGCTCAAAATGAGTTGCAAAACATAATGCAACAACAGCGTGACGAAATAGCAAATGGCGCCGAGATGCTGAAATTGATGCGTCTCGAAATTGAAGCGTCTCGAAAATTCCTAGAAGAATTTCAAGTAACGGTGAACCGCAACTCGCACATCGGCGGGAGCGACGGGGGAGAGCAAGAAAGTGAAGTCGGCGATTTATTGCAGCTAGAGGATGGTCACACTGAAGAAAGACCACGGTCGACGGATGGCAACGCTGGTGCAGCTGATTACACTGGAACGGATGGCAACGCTGGTGCAGCTGATCACGCTGGTGCAGCGGGCAACGCTGGGGCAGCTGGAAGGATCGACGAAAGTGGCAACGCTGTCGGAGGCAACTTAAATAATTGCATCCAAACTGGAGCGATGATGTTAGCCAAGGAAATTTTATTAGAATTTACTGGAGAAAGTGAGGTGCGTAAATGGGTAATGCAATTCTTCAATGTGGCCAAGATCTACAGACTAAATGATATGCAACAGCACTTGCTTTGTATAAGCAAATTGAAAGGCGGTGCTTTGAAGTGGTTGCATGCAGACCCTATGCGCATCATTGCTCCGATTGACGAGATGCTAAATCAATTGGTTTTGGCCTTCGGGGGAGGATTTTCGAAGTCGGAACTACGACAGAAGTTCGAGGATCGGGTTTGGAAACCAGATGAGGTGTTCGCCACATATTTTAGCGAAAAAAGCATATTGGCACAGGACATCAACATTGATGTAGAGGAGTTAATGGAGGGTATTATTCGAGGCATACCTTGCGAAAACTTGCGCACTCAAGCTAGTATGCATTGCTTTACCAATCCGGCTCAAATTTTACGTGCGTTTGCAGCTATAAAGTTGCCAATTAAACGGGTACGAAACCATGTAGTGAAACAAACTGCACAGGAAGCACAGGCGGACAAACAACAACGTTGCTACAATTGCAATGTTAAGGGCCATTGGGCCAAAGATTGTTTAAAGCCCAAACGGGAGGCAGGATCTTGCTATGCGTGCGGCTCAAAGGATCATTTAATAGCAGGATGTCCAAATAAAAAGTATGATATGGAAAACAAATATGTAAGATACTTAAGAATTCATTTTAGTAACTCATTTAACAAATCAATAATTGCAGAATGCCTTATAGACTCTGGCAGCCCTATTTCATTTTTAAAGGAAAAGTTTGTGCCATTAAAAGTAAAGCGTATGCCAGATGCAAATTCGTATGTAGGTTTAAATGAAAGTAAATTGAAAAATTTTGGAAAAATTTTATGTTTTATGAAGAAAAAGTTAATAAATGTTTATTTTAATGTTATAATTGTGGCAAATGAGTCTATGAGGTATGACGCTGTGCTTGGTAGAGATTTTATGGATTCTTTTGGTTTAAATATTGATTTAAGAACATTAAAAATTGTGAACGGGCATAAAGTTGATCACCAGAATAATGGTAAAAATGATATCATAGCTACAAGCTACAAAGAAAAACAAAAAAAAGTGGACGATGAAGATATCAAACACGAGCAAAATGAAACTATATTGTTAAATGATAAAATCGTTAATAAGGAAATAGTCAGTAATGAAACTGGTAGTGATGAATTAGTTAGTGAGAAAATTGTTAGTCCGGAAACGCTTGGTGATAAAGTTGGTAGTGATGAGATAGTTAGAAATAAAATAATTAGTGGTGAAATAGTTAGAAATGAAGTGATTGGGATCGAAACTGTTAGTGATGAGATAGTTAGTTATGGAGAGCTTAAGCTCGAACCTGATAGTGAAGAAGTTGTTAGTGATGAAATTATCTATAATCAAACCGGGATTGAAAAAGTGATTATAGAAGATATAGGAAACAGTGCAGTTAAAATTAATAATCATGTTAATGAAGCGCCAGTGAATAGCGAAATCATGGGAGTGTTAGAAGAGAATTTTGAGAAGGATATCTTAACAATAAGTTGGGAAGATTCTAACAAAAGAGAAAATATATATATTTTAAGTGAAGATATTGATTACAGCACAAAGTGTGAATTTGAAAATTTATTTGAAAATACTTATGTAAAAGCGAAAAGGCCAAATCAGCCAAAATTAAGACATGAGTTAAGCATAAGATTAGAAAACGACAAAGTATTTAATTGTACACCTAGGCGGTTATCTTATATGGAAAAAGAAAAGTTGCAAGAATTATTAGACGACTATTTAAAAGATGGAATCATTAGGCCAAGTTGTTCAGAGTATGCATCACCTATAGTACTAGTGAAGAAAAAAACTGGAGACATGAGGTTATGTATTGATTTTAGAAGACTGAACAAAATTATATGTAGAGACAACTACCCGCTACCATTGATCGACGATTTATTAGACAGACTATGCGGAAAAACAGTATTTTCAAAGTTGGATCTAAAAAACGGGTATTTTCATGTTTTTGTTAATGAGCAATCTATTAAATACACTTCATTTGTTACCCCTTTAGGACAATATGAATTTCTTAGGATGCCCATGGGTTTAAAAACTGCGCCACATGTATTTCAAAGATTTGTTAATAACATATTTTGTGATATGATAAAAGATAATAAGGTAATTGTTTACATGGATGATATTATGATAGCAAGTACAAACATAAAGGAACACATGGAGACCTTAAAGGAAGTGTTTATAAGACTGGTGCAAAACAAATTAGAGTTGAAATTAGATAAGTGTGAATTTTTTAAAAGCAGCGTTAAATATTTAGGATTTGTGGTGGATAGTAAAGGCGTTAGGGCTGATGAAAAAGGGTTAGAAGCGGTTAAATCCTTTCCAATACCAAACAAAATTCAGGGAGTACAAAGTTTCCTAGGGTTATGCTCCTACTTCAGGAGGTTCATTTTAAACTTTTCTATATTAGCTAAACCCTTATATGATTTATTGAAAAAAGATAAGAAATTCAAGTTTGGAGAAGAGGAGTTTAAGTGTTTTAATATGTTAAAAGATAAATTGTTAGAGGCGCCAGTACTATCAATATATAATTACAAAGAAGAAATAGAACTACATTGTGATGCCAGCGCAGTGGGATTTGGGGCTGTTTTATTTCAAAAAAAAAGAAGATAGGAAATTACACCCGATTTTTTATTTTTCTAAAAGAACAACCGAAGTAGAGTCTAAATATCATAGTTTTGAGTTAGAAACGCTAGCCATCATTTACGCATTACGCAGATTTCGTATATATCTGCAGGGAAAACGATTTAAAATAATGACAGATTGCAACTCTTTAACTTTAACGCTTAACAAAATAGATTTAAATCCGAGAATTGCTAGATGGGCGTTAGAACTACAAAATTACGATTTTGAGTTAGTGCATAGATCGGGCAAGCAAATGCAACATGTGGATGCGTTAAGCAGATGTTATGAGGACATTTTAGTTATTGAATCCAATAGTTTTGAGGACAATTTAGTTATTTGCCAAAGCAAAGATGACAAACTGGTAGATATTAGAAAGATGTTAGAAAAAGAAGAGCACAAGCTATTCGAAATGAGAAATGGGGTCATTTACAGAAAAACAAATGATGGCAGATTAGTTTTTTATGTACCAAAGGATATGGAAGAACATGTACTTTACAAATATCATGATGAGTTGGGACATGCTGGGAGAGATAAGATGATCGATGCCATTGGAAAGAGTTACTGGTTCCCATATATTAAGGAAAAAGCAATAAAGCATATAGGGAATTGTTTAAAATGCATTGCCTTCGCCCCCAAGACGGGTAAGAGTGAAGGACTATTACATAGCATACCGAAAGGAAACAAACCGTGGGAGATGATCCATATAGACCATTATGGACCAATTAATGCAGGAAGGGCTAATAAATATATATTGGCGGTGGTTGACGGATTTTCAAAATTTGTTAGACTATATACAGCAAAGACAACAAGTACGAAAGAAGCGATTAAGGCATTAAAAGATTATTTCAGAGCGTATAGTAGACCTAAGTTCATTGTATCGGACAGAGGGAGTTGTTTTACTGCAAAAGAGTTTGATGAATTTTTAAAAAATGAGGGAGTAACGCATATTAAAATAGCAACGGGTTGTCCGCAAGCAAATGGTCAGGTGGAAAGGTTGAATAGAGACTTGGGTCCGATGATGGCAAAAATGGCGGAGCCAGAAAATGGTTTACATTGGGATGTTATTATAGAAAATGTTGAATATGCAATAAACAACACACAACACAAAAGCATAAAGAAATTTCCAAGCGAAATGTTATTCGGATTACAACAGAAAGGAAAAGTTGTTGATGAATTAAAAGAAAAATTAGAAGAGTTTACACAGGTGAACACGTGTGATAAAAGAAATTTAGAAAATATAAGAAAGAGTGGAGAAATATATCAAAAAGAAGCTCAAATCAGAAATGAAGAGCGGATTAATAAAAAGAAGAAAGTATCAGTAGAATATAAAATAGGTGACTATGTCATGGTAAAAAATTTTGATAGCACACCAGGAGTTTCAAAAAAGTTAATACCAAGATATAAAGGGCCTTATAGTATAGAAAAGATTTTAAAAAATGATAGATACTTGTTAAAGGATGTAGAAGGCTTTCAATTATCTCGCAACCCGTACGTTGGTATCTGGAATAGCCAAAACTTTAAGCATTGGATGCGAAAATAGGCAATAAGCATTAGTTATAAAGATAGATACACATATAAAAGACAGAGATCGGGAGCTCTCTTTGTCAGGATGGCCGAGTTGTAATAGGATAAGAGCATCATTGGTAACCCTAGCCAGGGTATTATAGTGTCACTATCTATGTTAATTATAACAGTACGATAAGTAAATATCGATAAAGAAAAGCGGCTGCAGAGAAGAAGTGGAAGGCAGTCTCTCTACAGTACTAGCAGTAAGAAGACGTGTTGTTAAAAATAAAAAGGCAACCCGAACATAAGTTAAATCAACGAAGAAAATCATACTATTACAGTATTTTATTTGACTTAAATATTAATAAATTTCTCGCCGTGTGCCCGTGCAAAAAACGGCTGGGCTGCAGTTTTTCAAGCGAGCCGGGAAATTGAAAAATGCCAACAACAACAAGAATAGCTCGTCACGCTGCCGCCGTCGAAGCAAATGGCAAGGACCAAGGCCAGCGTTGGGGCCATTTGGCTCATTGCAACATTTCAATTTTCAGGGGAAATGCCCGGCCAGACGATACGAAAGAAAGAATGTGCCCGACTCCAGGCGGAAGGGAGGAGTGTGGGCGGCGTCTGGCATGGGGGAATTTAGCGTGCCGCAGAGCCATCAGGATGTAAGCCAAAGTGTAAGAAAGTTGATTTCCGTTTGCCATTTGCCACACGGCTGTCCAAGAGCTGGAGCCTAAGAATGCGAGCCAGGCATAAAGGACTTGTCTCTCAAGTGGCTTGACGGCAATAGAGCATATATGAGTGTGCCATGCGAGTGTGTGTATGTGCGAGAATTACATTTCAATTTGAGGCTGAAAAATATTTGCCGCACACAGCGCACAGCGAAATTGTGGCAGCACGAGCTGCTTACAGCCTTGTTATCGACAGCAATTGGGCAACGTGCTCAAAAGCCAATTTGCTTCATTCTTTGGCACGTTTGTTTAATGCGATAAGCCCACAATTTGGTTATACTTTTGGCTTTAAATGCGTAAAATGAGTTATCTAATTGCCAGCGAGCGGAGAGAGAGAGGGAGGAAGCGAGCCTGAGGCATGCCATTTGCAATGTTTTGCCCCGTCTCCTTAGCCCGTATCCTGTAATCGGATGCGGCACAGGCATTCGAGTCCTGCGGCAATGCGTACCTTATACTCAGCGCGCGATATAAATGCGACACAAAATCGACACTCGCCTGTCTACTTTCGATTTATAGCAATAGATAGCATGGCAAACGTAGAGGGAAGGGGCAAACAGCTAGCACTTGGTGCACGCATCAATTGTCACGCAGCTCCTAGACCTTCCAGCTCCTAGACCCTCCAGCCTCTGGCCCTCTAGCATCTAACTGCCATTGACAAAACGTCTGCGTCCGTTCCCGTGTTGATATTGTTTTGCGTGCCAAATTGCTGCTAAGTATGCAATACATATTGATGGAGACACACACACACACACACACACGCACGCACACACTCTCGCGCACAGCAGGACTCCAGACTCAAGAGCAAGCGCCTGGCAGCTGCTGCTTTTTGTCAAGCTGATTGACAACAAAGGATTTGGTTCGTAATGCGGCTGCTCTCTAAGCCAAAATCACTTATTAGAATCAGCCCGCCAGGCACAGTTCCAACTGCAGCTCCCACCCTACACCTTCCCACACCCTCAACCCTAGCCCACATCCTTAGGCTGCGTCCTGTTTGAGCTTTAGCTTCAAGTATTTTTGTATACTGTATCTTTTTTCTTTATATTGTTATTGTATCCATCAAATGCAGCTTTAAACTGTGCACAAACACACACACACACACACTGAAACCGTTGACAATTGAGATTTTATCTTGAAACTGAACTAAGATTTATTTTTGTTTTACATTCTCGTCAACAGAGATTTTTGCCATTTCATTGTTGTTGTTATTGGCATACTTTTGCAGAAATCCTTAAAGACTTAAAGAATTGCCAGGCAAATGGGCAAAGCTGTCGCCGAGATACTAGCAGCTAGTACTCACATAAGGAAGATTGTTGTAGAGCTAAATATTTGGTAGGAAAGTGAACTAAGACTTGTTATTGGGTTTCATGCTCGTCAACGAAGATTCTTGACATTTTCCTTTGTTTTATTTTGATTGTGCACACGAGAAGCTGGCATAGTTATGCCAAAGCCCTTTAAGACTTAAAGAGTTCCCAAGGACATGGCCCAAATATCAGCTAGTAGAATAGAAACCTTCTTTGTAGAGTGAAACAAAATGAATGTAGAAAAGAGGAAACCTAAATTTCGACTCTCTGATTCCAATGAACATGTTTTGTGGCAAACAATTCGAGGTAGGTATGTAAAAAGCGGTTGCTAGTTCGAATCGTAGGCACTTGTCAGAAACTATACATATTTAAAATATTTACATATATTCAAATGTAAATGGGAACTCGTAATCGATAAGGCCTGTTCATTGCATTTGACATAGTTTCGTTGCTTATTCGTTAAATATTCTTTTAGTACGTTTTCAACAATTTCTTTGCCATTCTTTCCAACTGGAGTACATGTCGTGCGGCCAAGCCTTACCTAGAAACTAGTTGCACATATGTCACGCATGTCAAATAGATTTATGAGAACGCTGCATGGCACAGACATCGCAAGTGAAAGACATTTGTCAGGCACATTATAGAGACCTCTCTTTAGCCCAACTTTGCCCTAAATGGGTGTCACTTACCGAATTCCATGAGATATCAATGCGCAGCACTGGACTCGTCATTTGCATGGTGTTCAAGAGCGCGTAGTTCTCCAGATCCCAGACACATATGTTCTTGTCATGGCTTGCCGAGATGAGGACATCACAGGCGCCAGCGACCAGAATGCCGCTAACCGGGCCACGATGAAAGCTAATGCGGTGTATCTGCAATGGAGTGTGGAGAAAAATGGCAACAGATGAGCTCATTGAATGCAATCGAGTTTTATGGTTCGATAAAGGTTGATTTAACTAAATGGTGTAAGCTGAGTGTAGGAGGGCCAGGAGCAGGAGCTGGGGCTGGGAAATTGGGAGCTAGCGTGACACATGTGACTCGATCGCTGTCGCAGTGTGCGTGTGTGTGTGTGGCACATTTTGTATGCATTAAGTTAATTACCGTTTGGCAGGCGATGTTGACAATGCGCTGGAAACCGCTTGCCGCCACGCACCGCGCCGCCTACCACTTTTTCTGCGTGTTGTGGGCGCGTGGCACCAGCCGAAAGTCACACAAAAATGCCAAAACTTTGATAAATTACACGAAAAAACTTTTGAAATGCCAAAAGCAGCGACGAGCAGCAACATGAAAGCAATGCCAGCCAGCATGACTATGACATGGCGTATACGTAATATTGTAATTAATTTAATAAGCGCCTGTAATTTTTGTGTGCTGCACGTGTGTGTGCGTATGTGTGTGTGTGTGTGTATGTCTGCTGTCTGCCAAGTCACGCCATGCTCAAAAGTAAAAGCTGCATTTCGGGGCCAGCTTTTTAAGCTCCCAAATTCTGTGCAGTCAGCGAAATTGGCTTTTGTAAAATATGCTAGCCGACTTTTTTGGGCCATAAATTTAATTTATATGTGTGTGAACAGGCGGCGCTGACACCCGCAAACATTGGCCTAACAAGCCCAAGGACAGCCACACTTTATATGCAAACATTGCATTCTAGTTAATCACAGTTTAATGTGCGTGCCTCTCTCTCTAAGGGTGTGTGCGTGTGTGTGTGTGTGTGTGGTTGCGAAATTTCAAGCTAATATGATTTATGATTACACGAACGGAGGCAGCTGGTTTTGGCTTGAATGTGTGCCGCTTCATTTGTCAGGCATGCCACAAACACAAATTCAGGTTAAGCTGGCAAAACAGGCTGGTTGACTAGCAGTTACTCAGTCTAAAGTTAGATAACAGTTGCTTAACATAGCGAAAACAGTTAACGCAATGCCTAGTTAGTTAAAATGTTTAACAGAATATGCTAAAGCAAAAAAGCACGCTGCTAGTCTAAAGATTTTGATTTTAATTGAGTGTATTGACAGCGAAGTCTTTAAAATAAATGCAAGACCTAAAAAACGATAACAGCTGCTTAACAGAACGCAATAACAAGGGCAAACAAAAGAAGTTAGCTCTGCTGTTAGTGATTCACAAGTTTAACAGCTGGTGAGCATTATGAAAGAAATGTGTGACAATCTGTAAGGCAATAAAATCGATCAAGAAATTATACGAGAAGAACAGATGTTGACAGTTTAACATAGTGAACAAATGTTAATAAGGGTCTGTAAGCAAAGATCATGTCACAGCTATGCAAAATGTGAATTATGTTAACATTTTAAAACTCGAACAGGTTTGACTCAAACTAAATATTTGATATGCCTGAACTAATTTTTTGCTGGAACATAAATCCTTTAATATATGCAAACATAACCCTTTGTGACTATGATATAGGGTGCGCAGTATCTACACACACACACACACACACACACACACGCACACACAAACACTCACAGACACACATGGGCAGAGATTATGACCTCGCAGTGGCAGCAACAGCGTTGGCTAAGGAATTATGCAAATTAATGCGGTTTGTTTGTTGTGGGTCGGGCTCGTGGCGCGGTCTCGCAATTAGGCAACAGCCAAATGCATTTCACATTACAAATTTTACATTCTGCATTATGCATTTCATAATTTGTGTGTGGCTGAAAGCGAAATGCAAATGACTAAATGGAGGGGCAAAAATGTGAACAAATTAAAAATAGTAAATAGTAAATTGCGTGCGCGCAATTAAATATGAATTCAATTAAAAATCATTGCCTGCTAGCAGTTTCTATAGCACATGCTCTGCTCACCAATTTGCCGCTGGCCAGGTCTGTGATGGCGATGGTTGCATCCTCGCTGCTGCTGATGATCAGCGTGTTATTGACACCAGCTGCCACGCCTGTCACTGACGCTGTGTGGGCTCTGGGTTAGCCAGAAAGTGAAAAGAAAAAAAAGAAAATGAAAAATGTTACGCATTAAAAGTGCCAGTCGAGATTTCCATTGTCAAAGGGGCAGGGGGTGGGTACAACTTACTTAATGTGCGCTCGTCGCTCGCGCAGCGACACGTGCCAGACCAAAACAGTTGTATCCTCGGAGCCGGTCAGCAGCAGCTGCGACTGTTGCGGCGCCACCAGCAGGCACGTGACTGCCGCAGTGTGTCCTGCAAAGTGTGTATAAGTTTGTGTGTGTGGCATGATTAGCTCGTCTAATGGCAGCGCATTAAGCACGGACGCCCTTACCCTTATACGTGTGCTCCAGCGAGTTGCTCATGATGTGCCACAACTGCACATCGCCTGAATTGGTGGCCAGTATCAGATGTTGCCGCGACGGCGCTAGGCAAACGGCGCGTATTACTCCGGTGCCGGACACGGTCATGTTGCGTATCTGGGAGGGCAACGGCGCCGGCAGCCAGCCGGTCAGCGGAACGAGCAGCGGCACCGCATAGCCATCGCACCAGGCGGTCGCCGATCGGACCGTCATGCTCAGCAGCGAGTTGTCGTCGTCGTCGTGCTCGCCAATCGGTCGCAGCCACGAGACCAGCTGTGAGCCCAGCTGCATGGGATCCCGGGTGAGCACATCGCTCGACTTTCGTATGGTGTAGTAGATGAGCTCAATGTCCCGGTCCAGCACATAGCAGCGCACGTGTTCGATTAGGCAGCGCAGGTAGCTAATGGATACCGTTTGCACCTGCAAGGTAGCCAAGTGTAAAATATTTGTGATTATCAGCGCTAATTAGGAGAATAGGACGGGAGCACTAAGAATATTACGTATACGTCAGTGTATAGGGGCGTATTTCCAATAGTAGGTATACGTCGGAGAGGAGCATTAAGAATATTACGTATACGCACGCATTTGGAAACGCATTTACAATATTACGTATACGTCGAAATTTATGCTGTACAAATCGGCATTAGCGGGGGCAATAAGAATATTACGTATACGTCATGCATGTGGAGGCGCATTTAGCATATTACGTATACGTCGGAATTGGGAGAAACATTGGACGAACATTACAAGTACATCAGCAATTGCAGAAACACTTATAATATTACGTTTACGTCACTATTTTGAAGATTAATAAGAATATTACGCATTCGTCGTGTGGTCGCTAGTGCAATTAGGCATATTGAAGAATCAATAAGAAAATTACGCATACACCGCGTATATAGCTCTGCAGTACGGTATATTGTAGATGTAATACAAATATTACGGATACGTCTTGTGCAATTCCGAATTTATGAATATTGCGTATACGCTTCATATACTCTACTGGAAATTTTGAATTATTCCAACCAAGCTTAACGCGTGCTTCATATATGTGACCAAAAATGTAATAATCCTATGAGGCGAACAAAAATTGTATATACTTATAAAAATGATTTTGAGAAGCTTATTATAACAAATGTTTTTGTGTAAATCAAGAGGTAAATGCTCTCTATTATTATGCTATGTTTTGTAATTTGATTAGTTTATTTAATTGCACATAAAAACAGATGGATGGGTTCTTGCTACACTTTGACGTCAAATTGACTTGGCAGAATTAAAGCCAGTTGGACATATGAAAAGTTCTCACATTTTCTAAAACTTTGATGCTGCCAAGTTGCAACATATAGAAATATTGAGCGCTGACCTTGGCGCTTGTTAATTGAATCAATTTGCAGCTGTTGCACTTTTAGGCATTCGCCTAATTAAAAGGCAGGTCGAATGGCTATGCAATTAGCTGCCACATTTGCTGATGCAGTAGCAAAATTTGTGGCACGTGTCGGTTTTGCATATCAGTTGCAGCTGCCACAACATAATAAAAAGCGCTTTTTCAATGTTAACATATTTCTTTTATACGAATTTTTTGTTACTCGCTTTTTGGCCAAGTTTAACTGCACTTTTTGCATATTTTTGCATGAAATGCAATTGTTTGTATTTCAAAATTGATGGCTAAATGAATATTTTATCTGTCGACCAGTGTTCAATTTGGTATGAAAACTAACTTAATTCGATTTGCCAGCACGAAAGCTGCTTAAAAATTCATCGCCAACTTTTTGCCAGTTTCGGCCTTCTCGCGAATGCAATTCGGCGAAATTTCCGCATGAACAACTTTCATAATGAATGACGACATTTAAAACAATTAAACACCAAATGAGTTGGCAGCCGGCCAAGACGGACCCGACGCGCTTTTGTTTAAGCCTTAATGCAACATTCAGCACTCGGACTTAAGTTGACGCACAAGCGGCTGATTGCATCTGAGCTCTTTTGAATTTAAGCATTTCCTTCATTTAAAGTTTCTTTAACAAACTGATTTTAATTACAAGTGTCTTTTAAGCAAATGCTTGAAATGTAAATGTTTAAAGGGTTAGCTTTAAATAACATTAGGAATCAATCTAGATGACAAATGCGGGCTGAAAACCGTCTGGCTAGCAAATAGATTCACAATGAATTTGAAACATGCAATTGGGACAATTTGAAACTTGAAAATGGCAAAGATTAGTATGAAAGTTAGAAAAAGACGCTTAACAGAAGTAAAAAGTTATAATTATAACATATTCGCATGTTTATAACATTCGGAAATTTCTATCTGTAATTATCGTGACATGACACAGAATTCACATCAGAAATTTTAAACTCTTTGGCAACTTATCAAAAATGTATGAAGCATAAATAAAAGATGCTTGAACTTTTGGCTTTTGGAGGGAGACTTGCTCGATTTTCATGACTTGTTTAAGTTTATTAGACAAGTTGAGTGCAGATTTTGTCAGCTGTTTGTGGGCCACACAAAGGCGCAAATCGAGCTGATTGCAAAGTGGTTTTAGCTCGTTCCTAAACTAATTTCCGCAACGCTGACTAATTGCAAATGCTCGTTAAAATTATTGGATGGGTGTGGGTGGGACCAGTGAGGGGTTGGCATACTGGCAACTTACCGCCGCGAGCAGGAAATCAAAATTACAGACTGCGATCTGCTTGAATCGAGTCGTGTCATCGGAGCGCATCAGATGATGCCAGCTCTCCTCGACGTGCCGCATGCTGTAGGAAACATCGGCGGCAATGGGATTGTAAAAGGTGGATGTGTCGTCGTTGTGATGCGTTGAGGATGATTTACGGCCAGCCGATACGTTATCCTTTTCGCGTTCCCTGTCCTTATCCTTGTGCGGCTCACGCTCCTTGAGACTGACAACCGACTTGCTGTCGCTTCGAGTTGTATCATTCTCCAGCGTGCTCTCATCCTCGTCCTGGGGGAAAAACAAATTGGCCAGCTCCATGTGCAGGCAACGTGTTCGCTCCACATCCATATACCGTCGCTTGGCCAGCGTGGCGCAGTAATTGTGGCGCCATTGAATGAGCACCTTGCCGGACATAATCTTGTCGTGCAGCAGCAGGCGCTTATCTGTGCGCAGAGAGAGCAACCAAGAGAGAATGCGAGAGAGAGCGTGCAAATTATATAAACCGGAGCATATAGTTAATTAATGATTCATTCCTACCCATTTGCTTGTGTATCTTCTTGAAGCTGGCGAAGCTAAAGTGTCCGTTTTGCGTCTCTATTAACGACTCGGGATCATCGGTGGGCATCAGCAGCTCGAGCAGCTCGGTCTCGGTCAGCCCGTACTCGGAGCACGTGATGTAGGCCGCCAGACTGGCCACCGCCTGCCGGCCATAGAGCTGCTCCAGCTCGTCGAACTGCTGCTCCACATAGGCCACAAAGCTGACATCCGCAGCGCACTGTTCCGGTCGCTGCAGCCGGGTCGCATTCGCCTCCAGGCCCAGATCGAACTGATACTCCGCCGACTTGAATCTATCCCGCTGCATGGGCGTAAACTTGAGCTGTTCGACGGGCGTTGTCGAGCTGCATATGATCTGCACGTTCCAGGGCAGCGATGTCGGCAGCCAGGAGAGTGCGGCGACAATGTCGCAATCCAGCGGATTCAGCAGATGCAGATCATCGATGAACAGAAACAACACGTCGTTGTTCATGTCCTCGATGCGACGTAACAGATTCTGAAACCAGTTGTTAATGTACAGCGGATCGAAGGACGCATCTTTGGGCAAATAGCCCTCGGGTATGTTGAATATAATTGAGATTTGCTGGCAGATTACGCGCAGCAGCTCCAGATTGTATGCAGAGCGAGGCGTGGCCTTCGCAAAGCGTATGACACGATGCACACGCGTCGTGCCAAACCAGCCGCCCACCTGGCCATAGAGTGTGCTAATCAGCGCACTCTTGCCGCTGCCATGTGTGCCGCATATAAAGTACGGAGCGTGCCGGCTGCCGTTCTTGAAATTCGCCATCAGATTCAGTTGCAGCTGTTGCGGCACTTGCGTCTCCAGCAGCACCACACGCTCCGTGTGCTCGCGCAGCATCCGCAAATGTGTGGCATGCTCGTGAAAGATTTCCTGTACGGTGTGAAAAACATATATATAAAAATAAATCAAAAAACGAAGAAATAACAAGAAAATAGGGAGCAATTGCCCTTGACAGCCATTGCCAAATGGGATTCAAATAGTCAACAATCAGCAGCCAAATCGCACCAATTTGAGCTGCCAGACAGCAAAAGTGCCCCGCACCGACCTGACCCCCCCCGCCCAATGCCCAGTTTGTGTCCAAGTTCGAGTCCTCGCTAGCTTTGGCTGCCAGCTTGTCGCCTCTCGTTTCCTGACCGGGGCATATATTATGCCAGAGTATCATCCGCTGCTGACTGTCAGACACTGTCTGGCCCCGCCCACAAGCCTCAATTCCGTTTGTGTGACGCTGAGTGTGTTTGTTCGCAACTTTGTTTACCTGTGCTGCTGACAGAATGCCACCTGCTGTGCTGAGCTGAGTCGGTCCCCCTAGTCACTGACATCCTCATCCTTGTGGTTCTAGTTGTTGTTGTTGCTGTTGCTGTTGCTGTTGTTTTTGTTGCTGTTGAGTGGCAGTGGCATGCTTGCCACTAACAAGTCGCCACCCGCCACTTACACTCACACGCGCACACACACACACACACACACACATACATCCCTTCAATACACTCAAGCGCCCTTCATCTTCATCTTTAACTCTGTCTAAGCTATCCAGACTGAGCTCATGCATACACTGTGCAACAAATACTTGAGTTGGACCTTAAAAGCAGTTCCTTGTATCGCAAGTGTGGACTTCAGGTTGGCAATTTTACTTTAAATTCATTTGAAGGTAAGCACCATTAAAAGGCGCTCGTCAGCTTATGAAAACAGAGGCCAAGTCCTACAAAACTTGGTCTTAAGTTTAGTTTAATACTCGTAAATATTAAAGTTGTTTTCCTTGCAGCATGTAGCATTTCTCTCAGTGTATGGCCCATGTAGTTTAAATAAAGTTGAGCTAAAGTTTATTTGGATTATTCGTAACTCGTATCCTAGCAATGTGATTTAGCACCTATTTTTACTCGGGCTTCATATTATTCGCAGTTTTTTCTGCAAAGTTGCAAAAAGTTTAGCTAATTTTGTATGTTTGCTATAGTGAGAAAACAGAGTGAACAGCGCATTTCTCTCAGTGTCAAATAAATATAATAAAGGACACCTTAATCAATATTGAACTCAGGCTTAAAGCTACTGGAATCAAATATCTATTAGCTTAACAAATATAGTATTCATATCTAGCTTTGCATTTCTCTTAGTGTTGCTAGTTCTGTTTATTTTCTGCCTATTTCTCTCAGTGCACACATCACACACCAATTAAGGTTAATCCTTGTGCCACTTAAAACTCTGCTCGTAATACCCTTCTTTCGCTCAGTGTACCCATATGCTCGCATAGTTTGAAGTGTGTGTTTTTGGTCTCAATAAGCTGCTTTTGCTCTTGCAAATCTGCTTGGACCGCTGCTCACTGCCAGCTGCACTGACTTTGACTTAGCCACTAAATCAACATTTGCCGAGAGAGACGAGCGGCGGTCAGGTGTGGAAGTGACTGTGGTTTTGCAGCTGCAGCTGTTGTTCAAGGAGTCGCTTAATTAGCTCGACATTTGCTTTCAATTTTATAATGCATGGAAAAGTTGCGCATACGCCATATTGTGCTAACAGCTAAAGGTGAGCGCCTCTCGCTCTTCCTCTTCTTTGTGGGTGTGCACACTTAACATATTTCTAGGTTGTCAAATGCCACAACATTTTGTCAAAGTGCTTAGCTGCCTTCGGGTAATGGGCTTCTAAAATTGTGGGTGTGCCAGGAGGGGCGGGCAACGTTTTGACTTTAAAGGCGCTGGCAAGGCTTTTAAATTTCAGTGGGACAAAGGAGTGCGGGCGGGCGTGCCGTTGCAGTTTATGTTGCAAGAAGGAGGCGTCGTTAAGTGCAAACAAGCGCAGTTCGTGTGGGTGCTATCAAGCGCAAGGGCCAAAAGCGGGACATGAGGAGCGGGGCGTCGCTGGCCTGCATTGTATACAAGTGTAAGTGTGTTAATATGTCATGTAGAGCAGCATAGCCAAGTGCGGGAGGAGGACGCATGCAGGCAGCCGGCGTCCGCTAATGGGCCAGAGCCAAGGCGCGCTTTACGCGGCGTCCTTCGGTTTGCGCCCAACTTGAAATGTTAAATGCTTTCAACAAAAGCCAACGTATGGCAAACGCGAGTCCGTTGCCGAAAGAAATACCCAGCTACCAGTCGTGCCGCCCCCTGCGGCTGCCTCTCCCCCACCGCCAACCAAATAGATTGTTGGCAGGCAACAGCAGCAGCGTCTTGGCCAAAATGCTTATTGCTGGCGGCATTGGAAAACCAACCAGAACCCGCCTTGTTTACGCCAGAAAATGAAGAAGATGCCTTGTTATTGGTTTTGCTTTTGGATTCTCTTCATTTTCGTTTCTTTCCGTTTTTTTTTTTTTGCTCTTAGCCATTTTAGCAATTCAATTTCACAGGTGTTTCAGCAAATATTGAACAGCGAAATTGATAAAGCGAATGCTGAGAAAATTCTACTTAAGCCACACTTATAGAAAGTCAACAATATATCAGCCAAGGCAACATTGAATAAGAAATGGATTGATTTTTGGCATAGTTTACTTGGCTTCAGTGTGTTATTTAATATGTTACTGTATGATTTACTGAGAAGATATTAAATTCGATGCTTTGAGAGCACAACATTTAAGGACATTAGTCAAGCTCTCTTTTGAATTGGAAGCTTTATACTGATTTCTGCATCACTCTTTTCTTTCGAGTCATATTAATGGCAAAGGTAATATCAGGCAAGCAGTTGCTGTGTTCTATGAGATGCCCCGTACTGCTTGAAAGCAGTTTCTCCAAAATTATGTGCACTGGTGTGAGTGTGTTGTACATGTATTGGTGTACGTTTGACTGTTAAGCACGCTGCACTATAATTTCCTGTTCCAAGCAGTCGCGTCCGTGTGCTCTGTACGTGAGCTCAAGCTAATGAAAATCATTTGAAGAGATGATTGCTTTAAATCGAATTCGTTTATAAAAACGAAAATTGTCTTAAATTATGGTTTCACTAATGCAATATCTACTGTGCTGCGCAACGTTCCCCTGACTTTGGCTCATATAAAGCAATACAAACTTAATGCATAATTTACTTGCCGCACATAAACTCTCGCACATATTTAATTAACCTGCCCAAAGCGTTTTAGGGCGCATAAACAATAAGTAAGAAACTGCCAACCTACCCAAAATGTTACATAATTCCCCCACAAAAATTGTAAAACTGCCTGCCCAAGCAAAAGTTTAAGAACGCTGTCAAATTTTGGATTCCGCATTTAGGCGTATAAAATGGCCGAGCCAAAAATGTTTGGGGGCCATCTTTGGCTTGTTGGGGCTTGTAATGCACGGAATTAATTTATGACTGTTTCTTATTTCTGGAATGTTTTGCTTAAAGCGTTATACAATCAGAATGCAGGTGCGTCTGAATGCCCCTCACAGCCCCGGCAATTGCGGATTAAATATGCGTCAAGGAATGAAAAACAAATGCGGCTGTCGGAGTAAAAATAAATTTAATTTAATGTTCGCAACGGCGCAGACAAAAACCACTTTGTAGCTTGTCTGCAATGTTAATTGCGGCACGTTCCCAACCTCAACAATCCTGCCTCCACCACTTACGCTACACACCTCGCCCATTTGTGCAGCTCTTCACTTACCTGCACAGTCTTTTTCCTCCCCTTGATAACATCGGGATCATTTGTAATGTGCGCCTCGATTAGCAGACGCAGCTTGTCGGTGACTTTGTTCTTGAATTTACTTAAATACGCCTCGTGGTCCTCGTTGTCCGGATCGATGGCCTCGCTGCTGGCGCTGCCAGGCACACTGCAACAATAACAACAACAATAGCAACAATAACAACAATTATAATAATAACAGCAATAACAATTATGTGTCGCCAATTATATTAATGAGTCCCACGTGTCCGGCTACTTACACTAGCGTCGTGTGATTATCCGTTGATAGGTTCATGGTCAGCTCATCTTTGATTTTGCGCAAACGTTCGCCGGCCTCCACATCGCGACCGCTGCACTGTGCAGCACGCTCCCGGAACACGGCCAGTATCTTCTCGCTGGAGTGTGCTGTTCAAATATCTGGTTAACAGCATCATGCGCTGACAGCTGCGATTCGTCCACTTACCCATGGCCCGCTGCACTTCCTGCTCGATTTGTGTGCGTCGCAGCAGCTGCACGCGGCGCAGCAAATCCCCATTTGTCGCGGTCACCAGATGTTGCAGCGATTTCTCCAGCAGCTGTTGCAACAGACGCGATTCCCTCAGCCACTCTTCCGCGGCCAGCGAGCTGCAATTTGACACACAACAGAGTCAGTTTGGAGGATATTGGTCAAGAGAAATATGAAAAGTCGAACAGAAAGGTGAGAAAATGGCTTCAAAATAAATATTTAAGGGTATTAAATAGTCGATTTTATGCAGTTAACTGTTTTTGTTCTTCTTTTTTTCTTGACACCTTTTTATGGGCACATAATCTCATTATTCATTTAAAAGTTTTTCTTTAACTTGCGCTACTTAATGTATTCGGAAATTTATCATTTTTTATGATGTTAACCCTTTTTGGGCTTAATTTAATTTCAAATTTCAAGTTTTCGCTTTTATTTTTTGATTTTCATATACAAAGAGGCAATCGCTTAATGCTCAATTTTATTTAAAAACCTTTGTTAAGTGCTTTTAACTTAATCAACAACAATCGTGAACTTTGAGTTAATAACGAGCAAGCGTGTTAAAAGTAGAGTGTTTTTTTTTCTTTTTTGAAAATTCCTTGTAGTTGAGAAAGTGCTCATGGCATAATAACGACTTTTACACTTTCTATATATCGAATTGCGTGTCACGCGCTGTTGTGAGAAGCAATAAATGCTCAAGAACTCAAGAATTTCATTAAGCACAATCATAGCCATCAGCGTGAGAAATACGGCAAACTAAAAGCCTTAAGCAGGATAAAGGATATCTAAAAATGTGCTGCCATCAAAGTGACTGCCTCCATTACAAAGGCGAAACATTAAGTTGCATATCCTCGGGGTAAGTGAAAGCTTAAGCAAGATGAGGGCAAAAACAATCGCAGCACGTAGAACAAACTCTTTAAAGTATTGAACAAAAGAGCAGTAAATATATATGTTAGTAGTTAAACAGCGTTCTGTTATCGCACACCATGTTAACTAACAGAGCTCCCACTTTATGTTATTGATATTTAACTGCTTGCGAAGCTTTTGAATTCCAACTTTTTGAATGTATATCTTTTGTGAATTGATTTTTTTTTTTATGTATTTGTATAGAATGGAAACACTTCAAAGGCTATATTTTAATCCCAAACAGACGGACAGACAATATGTAAAACAATGGCAAATAGCATAAAAATGCGACTCTTGCTAAATCCTCAGATATTTTAGAAATAATCTGTAACAGTTTTTCTATAGCCTTTTATGCATTTTGACAGCTTTCACATTTTGTGTTTGCGAATAATCTGAATTTATTTGCCACAATTTCCATTAGTTTATTTCTATTTATGTAATTTATTTCATTTGGCTTGGCATTTAGTTTATTTGAGATATTTTGTAAGTTTGTTCTCATATTTTTATTTGCCAGTTCTTTTATGCAGACATCAGCCTTAAGCACAATTGACGGCCGTCAAGCGTTGGCATTGGCCTTTTCACAATGCAACACGTCCAAACAGCCAGCGCCCCCGGCTGGCATTGTTGGCTTATGAGTTGTGCCAATATTTGCGCTGTGCAGCTGCAATTGAGTTGGCAAACAACGGGGACGCGCATATGCACAAGGATAATTGTTCGGCTGGCCGACTTACCGATAGTCCTGTTTGAGTACAAACTGCGTTTCTGCGCCCGCCTTGGCATACCAGCGTCCAAGCAGCTCCATATCCTGTGCCGGCAGAGAGAGTGCCGCATAGATGTCCTCGTCGATGTGCGTGGGCAGCGGTGGGCGGCCAATGCCGTCGCCAATTAGCGCCAAAAAGAACACACTTTTCGAGTGGGCGTGGCACGTGTCAATCTCGTGCAGCAGATCCTGCTGCATGTAGGGATCCCGTTCGAGCAGCGTCACATCCAGGGCACCCGTGCCAAAGTGCATGTCCACAATCTCCAGCTGTCAAGAGGAGAGGGAGTATGATGTGACCTACGACCCCTTCATGCTGGCCAAGCATCTTACCTCGATCTGGCGATCATCGTAGAGCGTCTGCAGCTCGGGCCCGACCAGCTCGAGCAGCATGCGCCGCTCCTGGTTAAACTCCTGCTTGAGGCTGGCCACATAGATCTTGATGAGCAGCGGCTTGGGCAGACGCGTCTGGGCGCTGGTCACGCCCCGCAGCGCATTGAGCACGCTCTCATCGACGGGCGCGGCCATTTTGGGCAAATGTTATTGCCAAACAGTTGGCCAGAAGCGATGCGTTTGTTGACAACTCGGTTGGCCTTATTTATTGTTTATTTGCGTGCGAGTCTGTAAGAGTGTGTGTGCGTGTATGCGCGTCTTTGTGTGTGTGTGCCCTGTTTATTTAACTTGGCCAAAATCAAACGACAACGTCGCCCTCGCGGCAGCTTCCAACAGCGCAAAGCATTGGCACATGTTCCACATCAATTCGCGAGTATCTTTCGTGCATGCACGCCGTATCTAATAGCTGCACATTTGTATCTATACATACATATATATATTTCTGTAGCTGTATCTATAAGTGGCACGCGTGGCAGGATGTGGAACAGTAACAGGGTGTTTGCAGTGCTTGCCACCAGCTCGACGCCGTCGCCAGTTGCCGCCAGTTGTGCATCCTCGATCTGGTGCCAAAGTTTACCCTTTACGGATTTTATTTTATATGTTGCCGCCTGTCGTTGCTGCAAATACAAATTGAAAAGAGTAAATGTATTTATGGTACGTCTAAAGCGGCAAGCGGGAAATTTATGTAAAAAACTTTTTACTGGTAGCACACACAGATACACACATCACACACACACACACACACATACAAACACCACACAAACATGTGTGTGCTTGCGACAAACGAGATGTTGGAAAAGTTTTTAGTGGGAATTGCTGTTTTATGATCAGCACTGACATGAGCTGGGGAATGTGTTAACAGTTGACTGCATTTTTGGATTGAAAAATTGAATCTAAAAAAGTTGATACGAAACAGTTGAAAGTTGTACTGAATTGCGCAAATGATTTGACAATAATATGTGGCACAGTTTTCCAGCAGATTAGTGTATTCAATAATTTGTGCAGGAAGTCGATCAAATCAAAAATAATTGAATTAAATCAACTCTGGAATTTGATTCGGCCTAAAAGTGCATTTGAGTATATTAACTGTTAAGACAGCAGCCTTCGTTATGTTAACTTCTTACGCATGTTATCTGTTTAACAGAAAGTTCCTCTCGCTCTGTAAAGCGGTTCCTCTAAGAACATAGACCTTAACAGCATGTTCTCATGTAATTTAAGCACTTATTTTAGTAAATTATATTAATTTTTCTTAAGAATAAAACTGCAAATATAACAATCAATTGCTAGGTTAACAGAGTTCTCATTTTATTATATATATTTGTATTAACTTCTCAGTAGAATATATTCTGCTATATTAACAGCAATTGCTATCTTAATGAGAGTTAATCTTGTTTACTTCTCTGATGATATTATATGAATTAATTTTCCAATAATTATCATTTTCAAAACATTCTCTAGCTCTGTTATGAGTCTCTCTGAGTACAGGGACTTTAACAGCAACAGCATTATGTTACTATGTTAATGAGAAATTCGCCTGCTTACTTCTTTTGTGATAATTTATTAATTAATATTGCAATAATTACTTCTGACACTCTCAAAAAACCTTAAAAAATAATTTCAATTAATATAATAAACCTTTATTCAATCAATTTAATAACTCTTTATTGTAACCATATAGTAATTAGTATTTTATTTACCACAAGTAATTAATAAATTGAAAATACTGTAGGGCATTTGTGGGGCTTGATTTACAAAGAAAAAAACGTTTTAATGGAAAACCAATTTTTCCTCAATTGAAAGCTCTGTTCAAGAACTGCTGTTGTTGGTTTTACGGTCTGCTAAATAAACGATAATAAATTGTAAATAAATGTTGTGATTTTCAAAGGCGCCAAATAAACGTGTAATCGTGTAGTTTTATATGTTCGTAACTCAACGCGTTGGCTTTAATGTGCGCCCTTATAGGGTGAGAGGCACAAAAGGGGGCAAGGTTTAGCAACAGTTAAGGCTTAGGTCCTGTCACACACACACAAACACACACAGTGGACTAATGAAGACTCTGCGCGTTCTTCGGCTAACAAAATCGATTGCAATTAATTCCGCTTCAATGAGTTGGCTAAATTGCTCGTTTGAGTATTGGCCAGAGGAAGAGGACCAGGAAGAGGAGCAGCAGTAGCAGCAGGAACTGGCCTACAATCTGCTACTTGGCTTGGCCCTTTGTGTGTGTCGCAGTGTGTCACATTGTGAGTGTGTGTGTGTGTGTGTATCTTAATCAAAGGTGCGAATCCGTAGCGTGTATTTGCCCTGCGTACGGCAACTGCAATTACCAAATCGGCCTTGCAATGCCAGCACACTTCCCGCCCGCACTAAAAGCCCCTCAACAACGCCCCCTTAAAGCCAATATATATTTAATGGTCAAACAAATTGCGCCTAATGAGCACTGTGCCTGTGAATCAAAGCAGTTGCCTGTTCGATGATAACAATAATAATATGGCACAATACGATTTAAGAGTTTCCACATTCAGTGCCAAATTGTGCTTTCAGCTAGCTGAGCTATTGCCCAACAGACAATTATCTGGCCATAATAGAAGCGATCGTTATGCCGATTAACCCCATTATTAGGCAATTTCCTACATTTTGGCACAGACACAACGAGAGAGAGAGAGAGTTCCGTCAGCAACTAAGCCAGACGGAAGCCCAGCAACAGGACGTTCAAGGAGCAACAGTGGGTGCTGCAAATTAATGGCACCATGGCTCAAACATATGGCCCAAAACACACACAAGCTTGCTAGATATTACAGCACTAGCTATTGTTGTTGTTTTTGTTGTTGTGGCATTGTCCCCTGTTATCAGCGGCCAGTTTGGACAGTAGCCGGTGTCAAATGACTTCCATTAGGGCAGCGGTCACGCCTTCTGCCTCAGTTGTGTTTGTTTCTGTTGCTGTGTTTATTCTGGCCAACTGGCGGGGCCGTACATTGAGTAAATATAGTTACGCATTGGCAAATGGTCGTTCAATTTCATTTTTAAATATTTACCAATTGTGCTGTGCGCAGCCTTGCAACACTGCAGCCTGCCGCAGTTGCAACTTGTGGACTTTGCGTCGACCCAATTGGCCAGCACATAACCATTTGGCACAGTTTGCACAGCCTTGCCCCCAATATGTGGCACAATTTCAATTTTGTGTGAGGGGCCAAGCCACATTACGGCACTTTAATTGAGGCTACAATTTAGAGTCTTGAATAATATGTGAGCTGCTATTAGCGTCGTAATTTAGAGCCGTAAAAACTGTCAGTTCTTTCTGAATATCTGAGTGAGTGTAGGAAAAGCTGATGTTAACTTAAGTTAAGTTAACTATTATGCTATATTCTAGATAGATATATATTTTAAACATATCTAATTTGATTCTGAATAGGAATTTTTGGTTCAGTTTAAAATTCAGTTTAAATATGTTTATGATTTTTAATATCTAATATCCTTATTTCAACTCTACTCTTTATTGCTCTTCGGTTTTTTTGTAAATCACATCCGTTATAGCATAAATATCGATATGATATTCATTAGAGCATTATCTTTAGAATTTGGTATCTTTTTATTAGTCTGCTTCTTAAAAGAACTCTATACAAATTCCGGAATATTTCTGTTATTCTCTTCTACTTCTACTTTTTCCTCGTCTTCTGCTTTAGAAATGCATTGTTTCTAAAGGTTTTTTACTTATATCTTATTGTAAGCTCCTTTAGGAAAAGCTCTATGCCAAAACTATTAAAATAAAATGAGCTGATAAGGCGCTCATAAAGCTAAATAGAGCAGTTAAAATTGAAGGCAATTGTTCGCTTAAAAGACTTTAAAATTGTACATTAAGTGCTGCCATATCTGTGTGTGTGTGTGTGTGTGTGTGTATCTTTAAACGTTGCTCTGATTGGGAAAAGTTACACAGTCATAACTTTTGGCCCCCGGGCGAGTTGCATAGTCGGGTCGGAAGCGAGTAGGCCACAGAGTCGGGTTTCTGGTTACGCCAAGTGATTTTGCTCTTTCTTTATGTGACTGGGAGAAGAGGAGAAGAACAGAGGGGCGAATGAGGGCGGGCGAAACCGAAAATAAAATATTGGTTGTGACGCGCCGCGCATAAATAAATTAATGGTAATAAGTCAAAGGCCGCAACAGGCTGGCAGCAGCAGCAGCAGCAACAACGGAAGCAAAAGGAACATGCCCCATAATGTTGCACAGGCGGGGAGCAGGTGGTGTGCACACACACAAAGGAGCCGAGCCCCAAATGGCAAACAACAAATGGGGCCGAGGGGGCAGAGGTGTAGCAAAGTAATGGTCGAAAAAAACGCAAATTCAGCAAATAAACAATGTGGCAGCATTTTAGACGCAGGCAAAAACACCAACAACAACAGGCGGAACGTGCAACGTATGCGGCGGGCACTCATGCCGATTGCGTGGCATAAATATTAAATGCGTCGCAGCATATGTCTGATTGCGAGTGTGTGTTAGATACACACCAATACACACACACAGACTCACCCACCCCACGCTTAGCTGCTCGTTTTTCTTATAAATATTTAAGCCAAAATCCGACATCCAAAATTAGAGCAGTTGCTATTCATTTACACTCGCTGCCTGCAACGCTTACGTATTCTCTCAACTAACACACTCGCAACCTCCATCTCGTGCCACCCTCTCGCCCACTCACACCCTTATAATAAACAAGTTTCTAAGGCTTTATGGCCTGCATTTATATGCCAGGCCAGAATAAACTTGCGAGTCGGCTTTGTTGCCTCAAAATTGTCGAACAGACGCCCAAAAAGTATGCCATGAATGTGTTTTTGTTGTTTTTATATACCCTATAATAATGTTCAAAGGGTGCAAAATAAACTTGTACATTTCTAACTCGATTTTATAGAGAGTATATATAAAAATATATATATACATATCTGAGGAGTAGATCTTTGCAATAAATATATCCCAGGTAAATTTGTCGCTCTGTTTATGGTTCGGAGGGAGACTCCGGGACTCGGAGGGAGACTCCGTCTCTTTTTCTCTCTCTCTCTTCCTATCTCTACCTGCCTCTCATTTACTTTTTCGCTCTCTGTAGTTCTTTCAAGCTTTCTAGCTCTTAACCATGTCTGCATCGCATCAAGTTTAACTTTTAAATGAAGTAGTTTTTCAATTTGTTTGTGTGGCTATTTACAGGGTATCTGGCAGTTAAGCAGAGCGCATTTTGTCCTTTCTAGCTTATTTATATTTTATTTATTTCTTTTTGTGTCTCGGCGCTAAACAAAAATAGCAACAAGCGCCACAAAAATTTCTGCCCCAGCTGAGACGACAACGAAACTGAAACTGAAACTGGAGCAGAGCTGAGCTGAGGCGAGTCGAGTCGAGTCGCTGCTCTTATTGCCGGCCCCTGGACAGGATATGGCAGGACTACAGTTCCAGTTTTCGCACTCATTGAAATAAAACTTTATGCCGCCCATCTGGCCAGACGTGGCTGCGACCAGGGAATGCCAAATGGACTGAGTCCGTGCCTTCCCCGCCCCACCAGTTGATAAATACAAAATGAGCTGTGGCCGTTCCTGCTGAAAGTTTTCCGGCTGTTGTCGACCCAAATTGATTTTCTTGT